TCGAGGAGAGTTGAAATCAGGTCAACTTTATGGTAATGAGCTATGACGCGGTTCGGCGGAAACCAATCGGAACGTAGAAGTCCACCGCTTGAGAGAATTCCAGAGAACGCAGTCCTGTAAACTTTGGTTCCGACCACATTAGTTCCCAAGCAAAATGGAGGCCCCTTTAAATACAAGATAAGCATTCGATCTACGTCAGAGCGTCCACAAAGCTTTCTACAGGGTTGTTGGCAGGGCGGCCGAGCGATTTTTGACACTCTCGACGGCGGCGGTGTGAACGCACAGTTATTCTCCTGCAGGAGCTAAATAAGAGTGATATTTGTATTTTACCGCAGAGCAAAAAAGTTCTAACCTTGTCAAAATAGATGCGTATAGATCCTACATTTGTCGCTCCTACAGCAGTGAGTGAAAAGAAGCCGTGTGTCCACTCCCCACTCAAGACCACCCGCTCATTATGGCAGAAAAGTTCCTTGATCCAGCGCGCAACTCCTGGGTTCACTGACATTAGAGCACCTATAATAAACGCAAACATATCAGACCACACTCTGTGCTTCAGTTATGTAACTACGCACTGCTCAGTCGCCATCAGATTAGAAAAGAAGCTTATAACTTAAGCATATAAGAACTAAAGTCTCTGTTGCTTAATCTTTTGATAACAAATCATATTTTCAGAAAGCAAAGCAAAATACAGAGAGAACATATAATGCCGCTGACCTGGGAAGTGGCGTCTGTGTGCCACCCTCCAGTCTGTAGGCGAGTGGAAGCAGTGGTAGTCACCTGGAGCCAGATAAACTACACAGTGAAACAACTCATTCCCCTCTTTAGTGACCAGGGCATCCTGGTAAGTGCCAGGATCATCCTCATCTGAACATGACAAGGAATAAAACAAGACAAATATAAGAGATTATCATCAATAATTTTTAGGAAAACCAATATAAAACATACTGGAGAGTTTGTTTTTTTTTTAAACCACATGGTCTATAAGCTTAGCATGATTTACCCATGTAGGGCATGATGTCAGATCAGATTTTATGGTTAGGCATAGGTCTTTCAACATTCATATCAATCAATAATTTTCCTTTGATTTTAGAGGTGCACTACAGTTCAAAAGTATGGGGTTAGTAATATATATCAAACTTCTTTTGAACTTTCTATTCAATAAAGAATCCTGAAAAAATACATCAATTTATCTCTTTTCAACACTAATAGTGATAATACTAAGAAATGTTTCTTTAGCAGCAAATCAGCAGATTAGAATGATTTCTGAAGCATCATGTGACACCGAAGACTGGAGATGCTAATGATGCTGATAATTCAGCTTGGAATAAATAACACTAAATTACACATTTATTAAAATAGAAAAGTTATTTTAAACTGTAATAATATTTCACAACATTACTCAATTTATATATACCGTAACATTAGCGTACTGTAGATTATGCTTAGTTAGGATACAAAGTCTGACATTAAGATTTTCCAGGTACTGGTTATATTACGTCACTTGGTGCAAAACATTTTAACACTATAATTTCCTAAAAGTATTAGCAAAATGTGATGAGGCAACAAAAATATGAAGTCAACCATACAGTGACCATACAGTCATGTTTACAATCTAAAAATGGATTTGGCCGTTTAGAAATCCTTGAGTTAAATGCCACTTTTCCAAATTGTCTAGTGTTAATCTTCTGATGTTCCAGCATCAAAGGATTTCGATCCAGGAGCATGTCCTACTTGGTCAAATGATAATTTTAGTGAGACTTACTTCTGTTAGCAGTTAAATTCTCGGTCCAGTTGCGCGGCCCGAGGAATGTTTCCAGAGAGTAGGTCACTCCCTTCACCTGCTCGACCTCACAGTTCTTCACACGGCCAAAATGAAGGATCTTGCCATCAGCTGGACTGATCTGCAGAGCAAACGAACAGTCATAGTGAATTAAACTAGTCTGCAAGTATCTGTGTTGATAAATTGTTTATTTGGAATGTTTTCTCTATACTGTATTAAAAACCAACATGAGTAGCTGGAATATGCAAAATAACATTAGCTTATTATTTCAGACACCATAATAATTATTTTGAACTTCTCAAGTTTCCTGCTAAACTGGTAACAATGCTCCTCTTAATAAAATTTTCTTTTAAACTTAGTAAAATCTCCAAAATGTAAAACATTTAGATGTTGAATGGCTCTACTGAAATGAAAATTCGGTGCACATGCTTACATACCCATTCTCCTGGGTTTGCCTATGAATGAAAGAGAATGGGACAACAAAAATCTATTTATAATTATTTTGAACTTCTCAAGTTTCCTGCTAAACTGGTAACAAAGCTCCTCTTAATAAAATTTTCTTTTAAACTTAGTAAAATCTCCAAAATGTAAAACATTTAGATGTTGAATGGCTCTACTGAAATCAAAATTCGGTGCACACGCTTACATACCCATTCTCCTGGGTTTGCCTATGAATGAAAGAGAATGGGACAACAAAAATCTATTTGAAGAATGCCTTTTTCTCTCCAGTTACAAACCGAGACTCACCACGCAGTGCGAGTTGCACACCGGCCGAACCTGTGGTTTGAGTTTGCGCCTAAAAAACTCGCCCAGGTTTCTGTAGTGCTGTAGATCCTGTATAGCTGCTTCATTCATACTCCACAGTTACAAGCCCAGACTCACCACGCAGTGCGAGTCACACACTGGCCGGACCTGAGGTTTGAGTTTTCGCCTAAAAAACTCGCCCAGGTTTCTGTAGTGCTGTAGATCCTCTATAGCTGCTTCCTTCATATTGACTCCAAACGTCCATATATACAATCTGAAGATAGGTTTCCGTAACCAAGTTGGCAGGTCCACCTGGTTCAAGCGACCCCAGGCTCTGGAGAGGAGTCTCGTGGGTATGGACTTGTAGATTGTAACCTACATCCCAAGAGACAGAGAGTTTGGAGACGCCATGCTCAAATATCTGTTACATACAAAAGCAAACGCTTGCAGAAAGGCAAGTAAACGCACTTAATGATCTTCCACCTGCAAAGCAAATGCATACATTGCCACTTTATTAGTTTATGTATCATTTGACAACAGAATACTTTATTATCATAAGTCAAATATCAATATCAAACATCAATATCCCACATCTGATTTTGAATGGAATGCAGCATAAAAATAAATGCACTGAAATTTCAGCAGCTCCAAAAAAGGTATTAGGTTTCAGCCTAAATGGTTTGAATTATATAATTATATACTTTTTTGGGGGTATGTATCTACAAATGTATATTAATATTACATTTGCACACAATGATTACGGATTTCAAATTTCAAAACGGGGGGGGGGGGCATAAAGAAAAAAAATGTGGAGTGATA